TTCGGCGGCACTGTTATTGGTCGAGAGTGCGTATTTCGTGAAGATTTGAGTCATCGGCGTAAGTGCCTTAGTATCAGTACCATGGATGCGGACAGGGCACCGGCATCACGAGAATTCTCTCCCTTGGAGCCGTTTCGGAGCAGCCCGAAGCGTCTTACCCATCACTGGCATGGTCGGGCGGGCTGACGATGGAACATGAGAATACTCACACATAAGTCCTCCATTGGGAATGGTGAGATCTCTCCGTTGCGTCCACGATCCATCAACGTGTGTAAGGAGACACTCGGCGTCGCTGCGCCTGCTTCAGCGCGCAGTAGGCGTATAAATGTGCCAAGAAACCACCTCGTACCCGCTGCCAATGAGTCCAATGTTACGTTGTAGTGTCTTGAGCGCTGGAAGGTTGCGTGCGCTTAGCAAGACAATAGCTGAAGGACGCCCTGTAGGGCAACCCGTGCACTGCTGCATAGGGACAGCCCTTCCAACCTAAAGTAGGTAATAGCCGGAATGGCGCTAGGTATTTGAGTATGGTAGAGGCGTTCAGAACTTCAGGATGGGCTGACAGCCACTGTGGCGCATGTGCCATTCTCCCGGCGGGTAAATATGCATTCTTCTCGAAACTCTTTGCATGTGCGGTAGTTTAAGACCTGTGACGTTCGAATCGAAACGTTGAAACAACCAGTAAGATACTAGAGCCGGTCTCCTTGCATCGTTGTGTTCCAACGGGATGTGCGTGGGTGGAATTGGCGGTGTTGTTGTAGGGCAGATTTCGGGGCAGATTTTGGAGTCGCAGTTGGAGACGAACCGGAGCGATCCCTCCACACTTCCGTCTCGCGTCTCGGTCGACCCCGCTAGGCGGTCTGGGAAACACTAGCATCGACCGACGGCAGAAAAAAAAAATTCCCAGAAGGCGTCCGCCCAAACCGCCTGCGCTTGCATCGCGAACCGAAAGCTCCAAAAATAGCCCTTGACAACCTCTTTTGGCTGACAATTTCTTCCACCACCACAATGGGTGCACGACAAGCGTTAGGCAAGCGGAAGGAGCCGCAGGCGGATGTACCTGCTCCTGTTGACGACGAGTTTGGCGCAACGTTGGAAGGTGTCTTGTCCGGGAGCGAAGATGATTCCGACTACGAAGAAACTTCCGGGTCTGAGGGCGAAGACAACGGCCTGAACGGCGAGGAGTCAGAGGACGAGGAAGACGAGGAGGACATTCTCAGCGACGAAATTCCCTCCGATGCCGATGACGAAGACATTGCCTCGAAACTCAAGTCAACAAACTTGGGCAAGGACGCTGGCGCTGTCGACAATGACGACGACAAGCCCAACTACCGGGTCGTTACTGGCGCCAACGGCGAAGAGCGCTACGAGTACGACGAGATCAACGCTGAGTACGACTCCGACGACAGTGACGCCCAGGAGCCCGTCAACACAATCGGCAACATCCCTCTCTCTTTCTACGACTCTTACCCTCACATCGGATACGACATCAATGGCAAGAAGATTATGCGCCCGGCCGCCGGCGAAGCATTGGATGCCCTGCTCGAGACCATTGAGCTCCCCAAGGGCTGGACTGGCTTGACGGATCCCCAGACCGGCAAGCCCCTCAACCTGAGCCAGGATGAGCTGGAGCTTTTGCGCCGCGTACAAATGAACGAGGTTCCCGAAGAAGGCTACGATCCCTACCCTGTGAGTATCCACAGACTATATGCGACATGCCTTCGAGACTAACGTTACCCAGGAAATGGTCCACTGGTTCACAGCACACGAGGAGAAGATGCCCCTTAGCGCGGCGCCCGAACCGAAACGCCGTTTCGTCCCCTCCAAGCACGAGGCGAAGCGCATTGCCAAGCTCGTCAAGGCCATCAAGGACGGACACATCTTGCCGTACAAGTCGGCGGAAGAGAAGGAGAAGGAGGAAGCTGAGAAGGAAGAAGTCTACTACGACGTCTGGGCGAACGAGGAGGAGCGCCCGCCGCACGTCATGGACATCCCTGCACCCAAGCTTCCGCCTCCGGGCTACGACCTCAGTTACAACCCTCCCCCCGAGTACCTTCCGACAGAAGCCGAGAGGGAAGAGTGGGAGAAGGCCGATCCTGAGGACAGAGAGAAGGAGTACATGCCCGCCAAGTTTGATTCGTTGCGCAAGGTCCCAGCCTACGGCGAGTTCGTCAAGGAGCGCTTTGAGCGCTGTCTGGATCTTTACCTCGCTCCTCGCGTGCGCAAGAACAGGCTCAACATCGATCCCGCGTCGCTTCTTCCCAAGCTGCCCCGTCCCGAGGAGCTCAGGCCTTTCCCCACATCCTGCCAGACTGTCTTCCGCGGCCACGAGGGTCGCGTGCGGTCTTCGGCCATCAGCCCCGACGGCGAGTGGCTTGCAAGCGGCGGTGACGATGGTACTGTGCGCTTGTGGCATCTCCGTACCGGTCGTCAGGAGTGGATGGCCAAGCTCAGTCTTGATGAGGCTGTGAACGCTGTCCGCTGGCGTCCCAACAAGGAGACCTTCATCCTGGCCGCCGCTGCAGGTGAAGACCTCTTCTTTGCAGTTCCTCCCCGCGGTGCGGACGGCATTGACAAGGCCAGCCGTGACATTATCGACGCTGGTTTCGGTTACGCCACGCAGAACCCTCAACCCGCAGCTGCAGTCACCAAGGAGCACCCGGGCAAGTGGGCCAGACCCGGCTCTAAGCTGGAGGCTGCTGGCGTCCTGCTCAAGGCCACTGTCAGGTCCGTCATCAAAGTGATCAACTGGCACAGACGCGGAGACTTCCTCAGCACCGTCTCCCCCAACGGCCAGCGCAGCGCAGTTGCTATTCACACCCTCTCGAAGCATCTGACTCAGATTCCCTTCCGCAAGCTGCCCGGTCTCGCCCAGACGGCGCAGTTCCACCCGTCGCGGCCGCTCTTCTTTGTCGCGACCCAGCGCATGATCCGCTGCTACGACCTCCAGAGACAGGAACTCGTCAAGGTCATCCAGCCCGGCGCCCGCTGGATTTCGTCCTTTGACGTGCATTCTGGTGGTGACAACATCGTGGTGGGATCCTACGACAGACGCCTGCTGTGGCACGATCTCGACCTCTCGAACCGCCCGTACAAGACGATGCGCTTCCACTCGGAGGCCATCCGCGCCGTCAAGTACCACCGCAGCTTCCCCCTGTTCGCCGACGCCAGTGATGACGGCACGCTGCAAATCTTCCACGGCAAGGTCGTGACCGATCTCATGGAGAACCCGACCATTGTGCCGGTGAAGATGCTCAAGGGCCACAAGATTGTCAACAAGCTCGGTGTCCTGGACGTGGACTGGCATCCTACGGAGCCCTGGTGTGTGAGTGCCGGCGCTGACGGCACCTGTATCCTCTGGACCTGATGAGTGAGTTCTCCATGGTTGGGGGAGGATACTTGTAAGTTTTCACAAAAAGACAGCGAGGCGTTGGGAAGAACCAAAAAGAACCAAAAGAAGGATCCTTCAACAAAACTAGACAATTTTGCCTTTTTTTTTTTTTTTTTCCAAAAAATTGTTCATGTTAGATAATTCGCCCTCGATTTACCTACAACGCAGGATGGTGTTATTAATGGATGTCGAATTTGTACAAACCATCTTTTCCGATATCGTGATTTTTTAACACTCGCCGTGAACCTGGAGAGACGAGAAGAACCCCATAATATCCATATTATGGAGAGACCTTGACAAAATGCAAGATGGAATTCAGTCACTTGGCGACGGAAGACGATGCCGAAGGGACCGAAGGAGCCGGAAACCCCACGGCGCCAGCGCAGGGTGTTTGGCTGCAAGTTTAATTAGGCGTTGGCTCGTGCGTCTTCGCCGTCTCATTTCTCATTGACGGAAGTTCATGTCCCTTTCTCCTTGGATGTTGGGGCCGCTCGCTCTCTTGTTGATGAAGAAGGGCCCTTGGCGGAATATGCGATGGGTAACGGGTTGTCCGCAAATTGGCAGAATTACAGTGCTCTTTTCAGGTTCCTCTTATCCAACTCTTCCCGCTCCTTCAATCTGAAACCTGCCATGCATCAAGAGGGCGTCACACCCGCGGGGGGCAAGTCGGTCATCTTAATCCCCAGCCGTTATTGACCCTCACTCCTCTCACAATTCTCACTCCTCGTCCTCCAGCTCCTCTCTGTTCCAGTCCCCTGGCGAATCCGAACCCACGTCATGCACAGGCGCCATAGCCGAAGGGTTAGCTGGAGATCGCGTATCGTATGGTGCCACGGTGCCAGGTGGTATAATAGTAGTAGAGTTGTAAGGTTATTGAAAAGCAGTGGAACGCCTGGCCCCGGTTCACGACTTCCGGGAAGAGGCACACACACACTTTTCTGTGTAGGGATACAAACACGGCATGAATGACAGTGGCCCAGAACCTGCAAGGCTCACAAAGGGCCAAGGTTTCTCTGCCGTCTCTTGCGTCGGATCGCCGCTGTCATCGAACCGAAAGGAGGCGATTTAGGCCCTGAGATGCCTTTTGCATAACGACGTAGCTTGTATCCGTAGTATGAAGCCTTCAAGACTTTTTCGCCCCCTCACCCTTCCTGCCTCAAGAACGGTTGACGTCCCATTCTTTTGGGATTTTGGACAGTTTACCTTTTCTGTCTCGCCCGTCTTCTCTCATCTCTGTTCGCCCACTTCATCCCTGGCAATCTACTCCAGGTGTGTGTGGCCCGTATGCTCATTTCCCTCGCGAGCACCCGATCCATCATCCCGCATCGAACGAAATCATCCTTTTCTTCTCTCTCGAATTTTCAAGGGCCGCCCGTTTCCACTTTTTCCCGTACCTTTTGTAAGAGAGATCCAGGAAACCCTGTTCCCGCTCTGTTGGATGCTTCAGGCGCGTGGGACTCTGAATTAATTAAACAAACTGCCTGCCCCGCGCAGGCGCAACGACGTTGCTAATCTTTTTCTGTCCCTCTTGTTTCTCGGTTCCCGGCTCTATTCTCCAAATCTTTCGCAATCTTCCTTTCCGCAGCGTCACATTCAGTTCTGTTCCATCGTCATGGTCTCCTCGACGTCGTACGCCGCGACCGCGGTGGTGGCCCTGTTCGCGGCCTCCGGGACGGCCCAGAACTTCACCATTGCCAACGGCCAGATCTTCACGCCCGGGCTGGTCATCTTGGACGCGCCTCAGCCGGGGACCCCGTTGGGCGGAGGTTAGTAACCCTGCCAGACACCTTTTCCAAAACTTCAGATGAAGTCTCGCAAACAACATGAATTTTGACTTCCATCGGGCCACAAATGGCCAATACTAATACTGGTTTAACTATAGATAACCTCCACGTTGCGATTGACGTCTCGACGAACGGCAAGATGCCGCTGCCGCCGTATGCTTCGGATAGTCCGACCAAGATCTTCAATGTTACCATGTTTTTGTCAAGCTATGCCACCGGCCGCAACTTCACCATCTCCAACGGCACGGCGACGGCCAATAACGCCAGTTTGGGGGAGATTATGACACAGGAGCCCGGCAGCACGGTGAAGCACGTAAACTGGATATGGCCGGATTGTCTCGTCGGCAATGGTCAGCCCAGCTCCAGCTCCAGCGATCGCGGCGCATACAATGTAAGTCTAGCATTTCACCTGATCTTCATGTAATTCCGATATAGCTAGGACTAACACCAATCCCCCCCAGATCTCCATCCGCCAAAACTTCCGCCTCAATGGTGAAGATCACTACACAATCTTTGACGTGCCCATCTCAGTCACGAACAGCATCGAGCAAAAAGACGGCCGGCCCTCATGCGACGCCCTCAACAACCCGCTCCTCACCCCCGAGCAACTCAACGCCACGGCCGCCAACTCGATCGGCGTGCTCTTCGCGCCGGGCGACTCCACCACGATTGAAGTTAAATCGGGAAGCGGCAGCGACGACGGGCTCGGCGGGACGAAGCCTGAGGCGACGCCCGGTGACGGTCTCGGCGCGGGAGCGAGCTTGAGGTGGAGGGATGGGGCGTATTGGTTGTGTTTGGTGAGCATTGGCGCTGCGCTGATACTCTGATCGGAGGGAGAGGGAGGCTTTTTGCCAGTTTCGTTGTGGACGAGCTGGCTGGTTACATTTGTGCCCATTCATGATACCCCCAGACGTGGAAGCTGTATTAGTACATATTTCTTAATCGAATCCCCCCCGACGGGAGTCATAGTTCTTGTCCGTCGGCCGTCGGATGGTGCCGAAACCGATACCGATGGGTTGTATATACATCCTTAGTATCTTACCTTGGCGCACAGATATCTCAAACGGCCGAACATTTGATGTCTTCCAGAAGTTGGCAGAAGTGAAAAACGATGATGGAGGGAAGCCAATTGGAGATAAGGTTAATTCTCTCCAACAAAAGTACGGATACACAAAAGGCTGCTCGTCTCGTAGAACTCCATGCAGAACTCAAAGACAGTTAAGCAAACACCGGCCGATCGCTAGCAACGGGTCTATTACGCAGTAGGAAACTCATTCCCGGGACCTTGGTCAATCCCCACTCCCACCGGGTCGGTGAGTACCCGGAGCTGAGAGTCCTAGCCATCCGGTGGGCCCCATGCCGCACGCGCGACGAACTGCTTTCTGGAAAAGGCAATACGCACGCCAGGCCAGGCGACGAGCCGTTACACTTACAACTTGCATGTGGCCAACCACCCGCGCTTGTAGTGCACACCTACGGTTGACCATTCGGCTCAGCCTTTTTTCTTAGTAGGCACTTGGGAATTATGGCACGAGGAAATGTCGATCGCAAGCTCGCAACTCATGTTTCCACTACGGCCCCCCGGATTCCCCGCACTTTCTGGCCGCACTAGACCTCGGCTGCGCGTTGCATCTCCAATCTGGAAAAGGACGCCTGCACATGGTGTGGTTGTACGACTGAAGTGCGGCAAGCAATGATGGGACGGGGAAGGCGGACGGGGACTTGGATGGTCGCAGCTTCCTTTCCCACCTCACTCCCGCCAAGCATCAAGTCGGGTTGGGAGCTATTCTGCCTCTGTCACCCGGTGCGCGACGGTTAACCCTGGCCACCTTTTTCTTACTTATGACTGTTGAAACCCCCCTCGTCATTGAAACACCCTTTAAGTATGGAGGGTTCGCATACTAATTGTGCGGTGGTGTCATATTGAGATTGTCTTTCTTTTGACAATCCCTCCTGTCTTGGAAATCAGATACAACCCAAGCTCTAATTCAAGCTTCATTGCATCGCAACTCAAGGCTGTTGGTTGACGAATACTCACTCAACTCACCGGTGTTAGCAAAATCCCACCTCAGAACTACCTCTCAGTCTGTCGTTTGATTCATCAACGTTTTCGAGAAACGGAAGCCTGATCCCCCTGTGACACATCGCCAGCCTGTAAAGACAGACTTCCACGCCCCATCGCAAACCGCAGTAACAAAACACAAGCCCGACGATGCCTCTACACCAGGGCTTCCTCCCGCGCGAGGGCCTCACAGCCGACCCCATCTTCCGCCTCATCGCCAGGACCGCCCTGAACCCGTCCGTACTCCTCCCGCTCCTACTCCTCGCCCGCTACACCAAAAAGGGCGGCGATCTTGCCATCCTCCACCCCACAGCCTTTTCGCGCATCAAGTTCCTGGCGTACTGCGCCGTCACGCGCTGGGCGAGCAGCTGGCTCTCGCGGCGCGCCCTGAACAACTGGGCCGACGACCGGTACGACTGGCGCAGGGAGATTGTCCTCGTCACGGGCGGTGCTGGTGGGATTGGTGGGCATGTTGCGCGGTTGTTGGCTGAGCACGGTGCTACTGTCGTTGTGTTGGATATCCAGGACTTGACTTTCACTGCTGGTGAGTGATCCCTTCCTCTCAGTGGAGAAATCTGTGGTGATGCCCGTTTTCTGTAGGGTTCATCGTCTAACACCCGCCGACAGCTTCCAACGTGCACTATTTCAAGTGCGACATCACTTCGACTGAGAAACTCGGAGCCGTAGCCAACGATATTCGTGCAAAGGTCGGCCACCCGACGGTGCTGATCAACAATGCCGGCGTAGCGCGTGGGAAGACGGTCCTCGACTCGACGGAACGGGATATCCGCTTTACCTTCGACGTCAACACGCTTGCGCACTACTGGACGACCAAGGAATTCCTCCCGCACATGGCGAAGATGAACCACGGCATGATTGTGACGGTTGCATCGTACGCAAGCTACCTCTGCGTTCCCAACATGGTAGGATGGACCCTCAGGGCTGATGTGGCTTGTCAATCTAACCAAGGTCACTGACACCGTCCAGGTCGACTACGGCGCGTCCAAAGCCGCCGCCATGGCGTTCCACGAGGGCATCACGGCAGAGCTCACCACCCGGTACAACGCCCCGCGGGTGCGCACGGTACTGGTCAACCAGGGCTTCACAAAGACTCCACTGTTCACCGGCTACGAGCAGGGCGTGGAGTTCATTGTCCCGGCGCTGGAGCCCGAGACCGTCGCCGACGCCGTGGTCAGGCAGGTGCTCACGGGCGAGAGCGGCCACGTCGTCCTGCCCGCGTACGGCAACGTGCTGACGGCGCTGCGGGCGTTCCCGTACTGGTACCAGCACCGCATCCGGGGCGAGGCGCAGAAGCTGATGAAGAACTTTTCGGGCCGGCAGGTGGTTAAGGACGTTGAGGGGTTCTACGAGAAGAGGGACAAGAAGGCCGAAGAGGCGCAAGAGAGGCCAGAGGAGAGCACGGTGTTGGTTGCGGAACCCATTCCCGAGCCGAATGGCATTGAATGAGAGGGATGACGAAGATAATTATTTTGCGGCAGGACGGACGAGATGGGCAGTACATATAAAGTTGACACACGTTGCCCTCGCCCCGAAAAGAAATGTAACTTTGTAACTACTTTAGTGAGATGGATGGTCCCGCCGCGGGTGCGTACATCCTTGCAGGGACATGGTGTCTCCCGTTACACGAGTCCACGAACGACACCTGCAGAGCCGCCAGCTGGTCGTGGGTTCCGAGCTAGAACTATGAACCGCGACTTCGCCTATCATGGGCGACCTGCACACTTCAATCCAGGACTATCTTCGCTCGGATCTGAATGAGCGATCTGTTTCGACGGCATGTATTGTTGTCTACATACGTGAAGGTCCGAATTCTATCATCGGGTGATCGGGGTTTAGTGATACACCGAACCAAACAAGGATCAACTGCTTTCGGTCGCAAATTTAGAAGAGAAAAACAGATACCACCTTACGATAACCACCCTTCCTCTTTATTCTATGAATTTCATGGATGAAAGATGTCTCGGGACGGTTCCTATCGTTCAAAAAAGCCTCAAGACCAACGAACACATTGCATCTGCCCAGGAGCAATAGCCCAAACCGTTGTTGTTGCGACAGACTGAGTCGTGCGTTATCACAAAAACACATCTTCAAGATGTCTTGCAGAGTTCGATCGCTCGCTCCGACGGGCCACTAAGCTGGTACCAATCAACCAACGTCCTTGTCTCTGGGCCTTGTCTTAAGTTGGGTAAAAGTGACAAGTGACCAACTGTCTCTGCGCGTTGTAGAAGCGAGCGAACAAACGGTCCGTGGCCAAGTTCCAACGGGTGACCATCCCCCAGGCATATCGCATGCCAATATATGAAAACCAGATACGGAAAGTGGGAAAATCTGCAGGATGGGAGAACTAGACTCCTTATCGAAATCATCCCCCGACGCCTTCCCCGTCCATGGATCTCCTTGCACCCCTGCTCATTCGTTCTTCAATGGGAGGTCCCACAAGTTGACTGGGCGGTTGACGGCTGCGCCGTACGGAAACATGAGTGGCATGTTCGAAATCTTGGGATGTTTCTCCGCCCTTTGACCGATCCGGCGTGGCCATCACAAAAAAAATCACCGAATACCAGCCCAACCCCTCTTTTTTCGTGGAGTTTGTGTGTCTCTTTCTCATCGCATGTTTGCTCTCTCTCGCGGGATCCAGCAAACAAATCTCAAAAAGCAAGGGTTGACACCAACCAGACATCTTCGTTCTCGAGATCTGCCCCAGGGTTTCTTTTAGCAAACAAAGATGACGACTGAGAGGTATCCTGACGAGTTGATTGTGGGGGACGATACGGAAGATGAGAACCAGTCAGAGGTTGGGAGTGTAAGCAATCGCGCGTCCACGTCGCCAACGTACAAACATGTACGGAGAAAAGATTGGCACCGCTGAACATCGCAAACAGGTTGCCTCGTCCAGCACAAGTCTGCGCGACTCCGTCCTCGACTACCGCCTCGAGAACGGTAGGACATACCACCGTTACAAAGACGGCAGTGAGTTTTCTATTGTTTGTTGTATTGCCTTTGATGAAACCCATGCCTCTTGGCATCGAGACACGGTCTGACAATGACGCAGAATACACGAAGCCCAACGATGAGCGGGAAATGGACAGACTCGGTAACTTCCTTTCTGATGCTATTGTTCTTACCAGCTGGTCTTCAGCTAACAACGGGAAATTCCAGAGCTGGAGAATGAGTTGTGGCTGATTTCTCTCGACTTCGCTTCCGGCGTCGCCCCGCCCGCCCAGAAGGACTCAAAGTTCGTGTGTTCTCGTGCACTGGACGTCGGTACCGGTACCGGTAGCTGGGCCATCGACTTTGCAGATGATCATCCGGAGTCAGAGGTAAGGAGAAAAAAAATCAGGATTTGCATTTCGACAAATCCGCAAGAAATGGCGACTGAACTGTGACCATCTAACGGTTTTGCTCGCAAGGTTATCGGATTCGACCTCTCACCGCCCCTGACCGATTAGTACGTTTAATATTTTCCTATTCGTAGGCTCATTCTTTTTGTTTCAAGCCCAAAATGTGTCATTTAAGAGCAGAAAGACACTTGCGTCCCCCGATGCCAACCCCCTCAGCAATTCATCGGTTCACTGATTATTCTCAGCGTGCCCCCAAACCTCAAATTCGAGATTGATGACCTCGAGGAGGACTGGACATGGTCCCGACCTTTCAGCTACATCCACAGCAGAGTCATGACAGGCGCCGTCAACGACTGGGACATTTATCTCCGCAAGATATACAAGTGAGTTCTGAAAAAAGGCTACTCATAGCAACAAAGAAGATTGTCAAATCATACCGACAAAAAGTCACAGCTGACACTCTTGAAAAGGAACCTCGAGCCAGGCGGCTGGGTTGAGCTGCAAGAGCTCGACGTCTTCGTCACCTCGGACGACGGCACCCTCACGGAGAAGCACGCGCTCTCGCAATGGAGCAAGCTCCTCCACGGCGCCTCGGAGAAGCTCGGCCGCCCCTACATTGACCCCAAGTCCCTGGACCTCAAGGCCGCCGGCTTCGTCGACGTGTCCATCACCACCTTCAAGTGGCCGCTCAACGAGTGGCCCAAGGACCCCAAGTACAAGCAGCTGGGCAGGATCCAGCTCGAGAACGGCACGACTGGGATGGAGGCCTTCACGATGGCGGCGTTTACGCGCGCGTACGAGTGGTCGCCCGAGGAGGTCAACGTCTTCCTCGTCGATGTCCGGAATGATCTTAGGAACAAGGCTATTCATGCTTATATGCCAGCGTATGTCTTAATCCCTCCTCTGTCAATCCACTGATATCCTAATACGTTATACAGGTACTGCATTATTGGTCGCAAACCGGAGAAGGGTGAGCTTGAGGCGAAGGAGGAGAGTACTGCTTAAGATTCGTTGAAGGGGATTTGATCACTCGAGGCTTCAACTTTCTGCATCGTATTCACAGTACAGCACAGACGATCAAAGGCAAAATCTTGTCGATGGCATTAGTGGACTGGCAATGGACAGCGAGTAAATCAAGTCGGACCACTTTGCATGATTTTATAGCACATTCATAAATACCTGGGGAGTCGCCTTAGCAGCATCAGCATCACTCTTATCTTATTTGCCGGCGGAGAGTTATCTGCCTCTCGTATCAAATAGCTACAGTAGAAGAAGAGTGCCCATGAGCATTGCGGTATGCATAGTTGTTACTTGAGTTTGCCAAACATTCGCTCGGTTGATCCACACCTCTCACGCTGTACCGCCATCCTGAATTGAAGCTGAAGATAGAACGATCGAGTAAGGTGCTTTACTTGAGCCGAGTAATATCATCTCGTCAAAGACTCCCTTATCCATCATAAACTCACTAATTCCGTATTAGAGTACCATAGAACGCGCCGGGCCGATTGACTGGTAGGTGAGCGAGGGTACTGGAGGTATCCGGCTAGATATGTGCGGATCTCGGTAAAATACGGCCTCTTGTTACCCTTCCTTCTGAACTCACAAGAGAGGAGACCAAACTCATCATACCATCCGTGACCATCCCAAAAACCTCGTCCTTCTTTATCCATACAATCATCTCAATAGTATAACTACTACAGCCCTCTAAAGGAGGTCCTGTCCTCCGATGGTAACATCACGCAGCTACTAATCGTTGATGGCGATACTGGCGAAATCAACTTCTGGTCTCAGGATCCCATTGAGAACGTCGATGAGAACTACTCGGGCTCTAGCGTCATCACCGTTCGGTCTGATTTATGACACAAAGCTGCGAAGCTAATTACCCCGGAATTACGTGTCTTGTTCTCTTTGGTATTAACGTCGTCCGGAGGATCGTCGATCCACGATATCCTTACTCCAATGGCTTCCTTCCAACGATAGAATACCTATGAATATCGTTAGCAAGCTCTCACCCAAAACCCCTACCCTAAAGCAGAAACCAGAAATGCACTCACACGAGCCCGTAAGCATGAATACTCTCATCCCTCATCTCGTTCCTGACACCCACCAAAAACGCATCGACGTCCTCCTTGGACCACCCAAACGCCCTCGTAAACGGCGCCATCGCAAACCCCTGCAGCCCAGCCACGATATTCTCCCCGCTCCACACCCCGAGCTCCTTCAGCCTCCTCCCTTCCTCCGTGTCCGCGGCAGGCCACCCGTTGGTCGGCCACTTGAACACGCGGACCTCGACGTCCACGAACCCGACCTCCGGATCACGCATCAGGCCGGCGAGCTTGGGGATCTCCTGGTAAGGACGGCCCAGCATCACCGAGGCGTCGTGTAGGAGCGCGCAGTACCGCGCCAGCGCCGAGGTTGTAGGGTCGAGGGTGCCGTCGTCGCATGAGGGGCCTACGTCGACTTCTTGGAGTTCTAGGTAGCCTCCCGGTGTGAGGTTGCTGTTTGGAGAGCGTAAGAGGGTCTGAGTTTGTAGCACAGTCCAAGAGAGTTAGGGGGAAGAACTCAACTCGTAACAATTCTTCAGATACTCCTTCCAGTCTGCTATGCTAGAAGTCATGAGGCGGCTGTGAATGTAGTCAAACGGTTCGTCAAACACCCACTCCTCCTCAATGTCGTCTACTTCAAAGTCGACGTTTGGCGGTAGGCTGGATTGAATCTATCAGCAAGCTCATAAAGCGAAATAAATGAAGGGTTAAGGTAGTCCTGAACTCACAAAGTAGGTTGATTAGGCGAAAGATCGATCCCAAGGACCTTTTTAATTTGCCAACCATTCATCAGCAAACGACTCCTCACAACTATCTGAAAAGGGTGTCAAACACCAGGAAAAACTTACTTCGGCTTCGGGGTGTTCGTCGCCAAAGTCAATAGCCCATATCCCCGTCCCCGTTCCAACGTCGAGGACCCTGCCAGGGACTTCGGCCCCCTTCTGGCACGGCGGCGCGAGACCGAGCCTGTTGTCAAACGTGAGGAGGAAGACGTTATGTTGGAGGTCTGGCAATTCAGCTTCCCGTCAGTTCCTGGATGTATGGAGACAAACGTAGGGTTGCCGCTTCGAACGTAAGAGGAAACTGCCGAGCGGAAGTGCTGTGCCTGTGTCTTGCAGCAGCAGCAGCAGCAATAGCAGCACCAACCAAATGTCGGCGGGAGAAGGGGACAGCAAGACTCACCTAACCTCTCCTGCTCAGCCTGGTCGTTTGGAAGAGTATATTCTGCAGAAAAGGCCGGTCAGAAACAACACCAACACCATCCATAACCCGACCCGGACCACTGCGGCCTCCCACTTACTGCCGTCCTTGTACCGATGATATGTCCTCCCGTTCTCCATACGGTACTCCAGTATAGATTCACTCAAACTCAGCCCGGATGAAGACAAGCCCTTCAGGAAAGAAAAGCAATGACACGGTCAGTTGAGTATTTCTTAAAGAAAGATACAGAAGAAAAAAACGAAGTCAAGAGGCAGGGGTAGGCGGAGGCGATAAGGCTGAAGAGAGTGAGATTCTCAACAGACGAAAGGCTGGAAACTCACAGGGACGTCGTCGGAATGCCCATGTTCGCAAGCGGCGTGACCACATCCCTCTTCCTCGTCCTGACCATCGCCATCGTCATCGTGAGAATGCTGTTGCTGCTGCTGCTGCTGCTGCTGCCCCCTCGAAGGCTGACCAAAATCACGGTCCGGGTCAATCCCATAATCCGCCATCAACTTCGCTTTCAAGCTCAGAAACAGTTGATCATGCTTGGCCTGATCGATCTCTCCTACACCACGCTCTGGAGAGTGTGACATCTGCAGGGGGTAAGCAAAGGCTGGCAGAGCAGAACTTTTGAAGCAACGTCGGCGGGCCTTGAGTTGTCGTCGTTATTTTTTCTCAAAAATAGTAAGGGACCAAAAACACTTTCGATCAAAGTACAGAACAGCGCCCAGACTCAATACACCAAAGAAGAAAAAAGAGCGAAAGGAATCGTGTCACAAATTCCAACCAACTCCTCTCTCTCTCTCCCTCCTCTTCCCCCATACCCGCATCCATCAAAAGCCCGTCTGGCCCCCCAAAAATGCCCAACCGAACCGAACCCCTCCTCGTCCCAGGGCCCAGGCATCTTACCCCCCCAGGCAAACATACCAGGGCAAACATTTACGAGCACACCGAACTAGGCAGGGGGGAGACAAGTTGGAGTTGGAGTTGGAGCAAGAAGGAACCAACAGCATATGCACGTCTGCAAATTGCAGCTGTCAAATCGGGAATGTGAAGCGGCGTTTTCTGCAGAGGGCCCGCTAATCTTTTTCCACTCTGGCCGCGCTATGGAACGACACGACCGGGGAGGGAGACGAGCCGGGGGGGTTGTATGCAGGCCGGGCCGGCCCCCGGGTTAGTGAGCGAAGGAAAGTCAACTCTCTTAGCAGTGGGTTGGTGGACAAGCGCTTGAGCGCAGAATAAGCGCTTCAATGACTATTTGAACCGAGCTTGCTTGATCAATCGAATACGTTGGATCATGGTCGCCTACCGGACTCATGAGTACTGGTGGCTGTCGTTGATGAAGCGTACACATAGATTGAGGCAAGCAGGTGGATGGATCTAGGCAATCCACCTCACTTCCATGACCATCACATGGCACTTCATCAATCTTTGTATCGGGAAGTTTTTGGTATTCGTCCACCATGCTATCAGCGAAAAGCCCGATTGAAAGGCTTCTTCTAGCCAAGCACAACTACTTCAAGCCAGCTGGATCAGTGCTATTCACCTAACACCCAGCTTCGTCTCCTCAGCCGCCCACTCCCCTGTCATCTTCAACACTGCGACTTCCACGCAGAGTCATATCCTCCACACACAGCCCCAAACTCTAAATCATCCGAAACTGGATGACATGGCATCAAAGTACGTCGCCAGCCTGCGGCTCGTCCATCGCCAAGTAAGAAGAACCTTGCCATGTGGTTGGCCATTGCCACTCGAAGAAGATGCAAAAGAAAGGGCCAAACAGAGAATCTGAGAATGCCGCGCCAATGCGAGCCTTGTAAACATGAAGAATAAAAAAAGTCTGACAATTGAAAATCCAATCAAACAAAATCTTTGACCGTGGTCATTATACAGCTCCGATTTGCTCCTCGGTCATGGGTTGAAAAAACAGTGGCTCTTTGTATGCCCGAAACTCCAAAAGGCCCCCGAAAAACCGCATCTCTTTTTTGGGTGTTTCCAAACAAACGTCCAGTAGTTTTGCATGTAATAGGCAAGGATTAACCATCCAAGGCACACCTTTATCAGAAACTCAAAGTAACGCCGCCTCGAATGAACTTCTGACTGCATTAGTCTTTAAATAGAAGTCGCCCCCAGTGCAGGGAGCTGTTGGTGCTCTTGGGCAGGTGTGCATGTGCTCTTTTCCTTCTGTCGTTATTGTTGTCATTTCGCTCAGACGCCACTCCAGCCATCCTTTGTTGGCTGGTACGCCTTGTATCCTGGATAGGTGCCGCCGCTGCTTTGCGGAGGTCGCTGTTCGTCTTCGTCCTCGATATGTTGGTTGCCACCGCTCGGACCGCGGTTGTAGTTGTATTGTTGGGGACGACTGTAGCCAGAGCTGAAGTCAAAGCCGCCAGAGTCATGCAGATCCGGAGATGCCATGCTTTGGTCGCCAGTGTAGCTGCGCTGAGGAGCAAGAGGGCGAGTCGACTCTGAAGAGGGTTGACGCGAGTTTGCTCCGTACTGGGGACGACCATAGTTCTCATTGAGGAACTGGCCTTGCTGATTCTTCTGGTCAAAGCCGTAGTCGTTTTGAGGCGCGGGGGATCGCCGGTAGTCGCTGGGAGGGGGTGGAGGGCCGCGGTAACCGCCGGCTTGAGGACCAGGAGAGCGGCGATATCCAGCCGGGGCGGGACTAGGTCCATCGCGAGGTGGTGCTGTGAAGCTTCGGGGTATCGGTGCCGGGCTGGGGCCGTTCCGGGGAGGACGGCCCATGCCGTAGCCTCCCTGCTCGTAGCTGTTGCCGAAACCCTGATCGAATTCTTGCTGAGGACGGGGGTAGGTCTGACCTCTCTGGGGCCCGTAGCCATTATTGTTGAAATCTTGGTGAGGTGTACCTCTGCCCTGCATCGCCATACCTCCGGCAGCGATAGCCCCATTTCCATATCCTTGGTCTACCCCGAAAGAAGACGCTGACTGTCCGTATGCTCCATCACTGTAGCCGTTGCCTGCCATTTCGTAGGGACCCGCAGGCTGATTGGCGTTGGTGAAGTAACCGCTGGGCCCGGCCTGAGAATTTTGGCCATAAGGGCTCCTGTCACCCGGCATGGGGCTGTTCGGATGGGACATGGCGTTGGGTGCCATGAGAGGCATGTTCTGTCCGTTCGGGTTCGGTGATACAGCCGGTTTGTTCATCTGTTCGAGCTCCACCTCCTCCTCAAGTGCCACCTTCTTCGAGCCTGCACCCTCCCAACTGGGCATCGCGGGAAGTGAATCGGCGTCTGCCGGATTGGCACCTGATTTGCTGACTTCGAATTCAGCATACTGAGGCGGCGCCGCGGCTCCGGAAGCCACGGGTGCTGTTGAATTCGCCTGGTGTGCAGGCGCGGTGCTGGCATTGTTGTAAAAGGGAGCCATGGGCGCCTGGGATTTATATCCCTGATTGTTCGGTCCATACGAACTGTCGTCGAGGTGCTTGTGAGGTGTTCCCTTGGGGGTGTCGCAGCAACCGCAGCAGTTACCACAGCACTTCAAGCAGTAGCAACACTGACAGCAGCACGACAGACCGCAGCAAGCGCACCGGATGATGCACCATACGATAGAGAAAATGATCAGGCCTCCGAAGATCATGATCCCAATGACGGGCCACCTGCGCAAGTTAGTATGTCGGAATTCAAGTGAGGTCGTGACCGAAACCTACTTGCAGAAATTAACGGACATGCAATTGTCCCAACTTGACAGCGCCGTCTTCACATCGTTGATCGAGTTTCCGGCGCTCTGTACTGTGTCTGTAATTCCGCGACTCTGAATGTCCGCGGCCATGCTCGACACCACTGATCCCCACACTCCTCCTCGGAGACTCCTCGCCATGGCGACATCGATCGAAGGCATTTTAGATGATTTTGTTTTGCTTTTCCTCCGACAAAGAACGTGATTCTCGGCGAAATACCCACAAAATTTGGGTACGTCGAGCTTGGTTGGTCGAGGGGGATTGATCTGCGGAAATAGAAGCGGACTATAGCTCCATCATCTCATGGGCTCGATGTTTCGTCGTTTAATCGGCTTGAACGGTGATCGGCGGACCGTTGGGGGATAAGGCGAGCCGCTTCGTGGTACAAGAGAACGTCGTCGTGCAGGTGTAACGGGCGGCCGGATTCGCGCAAAACGATCTCACTTGAAGTCAAGATGGCAAAGGAAAGTAAGTGGTAGGCGTGAACCAAAAAAAGGTCGAACCTCGAGAGCCTCAGAGGATAAGAACCGAAATGAGTAGTGCCGCTGTACTGCCGGTAAATGAATGCAAGTCTTCTTCTGTCGTCACTGCCTATGGGAGGGCAAAGCGTTCGCCCCCTTGCGTGGGTGGGTTGGTGAACAGGTGGTAGGGGACGTTGTAGCGAATGGTAGCGACAAACGAGCAAAAAGCCCAGAGGCTTTCGTCTCAAAATGGCACTGAAACTGGGCGGTGCAAGTCAGCAAGCACGGCAAGGTCCAACAGGATGACCCCGAAAAATAGGCGATCCGTGGCCAACAGATTGGGTGTCTTGGTCTTATTGCTTGGTGACGCTGCTGGGTGCGAGTATTGAGAAAAGGGGTGGGTCGCAATTCGTGTCCAAGCTGTCGAGAGACACGGTTATCCCAGGTAGAAGGGAGGCTGTAGCTGAGGGGTGGTCGTTTTCGTGAGACGTGTTGAGGATAAATAAATCCCAAAGTGGCGGCGAGAGAGGCGGAGTACCGGTATTCGTATGGCTTGCTTAAGGAATGACTTTTGAGCTGGAATTCTGCTCTTCTGCTTCGCGAAGAGAACGAACGAAAAAAGGTAAAAATGAGAGACACGAGGAGGACCGTCAAACAGCCTCGGGAATGGCCAAGGAGATGAGACGGAACGAAAAAGGAGCGAAACGGCACAGGACGCAGTCTGCCGGGTTGTCGGAGGAATATGCACCTCGGGAGGTTGTCAAGAAAGAGAGTGACAAGAGGCCGCCGTAGATGGGATGAAGAAGACGTGAGGATTTGTTTCCCTTGACCAAAAGGTCAGAAGAGCAGCAAAACGAGAGGAGGATTTGCAACGAGGTGTGGGAAAAGGAAGAAGGAAGGGGAAAAGATTGGCGTGACGCACACAGAGTTACTTTGCCGGGAAAGCCACGAGGGGGACGATCAAAAGTGGCAGTCAGGCAGCCCAGGTGGTCACTGGTAGTGGTGGAAAGGATCAAGGAGCAGCGGTAGAAACATCAGCACCTTTCCATTCTCCCTGTTTGACAGACTGAGCTGAGGTAAGGTACCTAAGAGAGAGCGAGCGCGACGGGACGCCGCGACCTGAGCACAGGGAGATTTCCAGAGGGAAATTCGAATTGCGATCGAGCGCCATGCCACACTCTAGCGGACTGAAGATCCCTGCTCAGACGAACTTGAGTGGGGGAAGCGGTTCCTGACTTCCCGTCCCCCCTTCTGCTTTGCTTTTTGCTGCGGCTTGTTCAGTCAAATCACTGCAATGCTGCAATGCTGCGCTGCTGCTGCTTGGCCTCGCATTCTCTTTTCTGCCTGCCTGCCTGCCTGTCTGCAACGCCAACACCCAACGCCCGTGTCCACTTCCACCTCAACTCCAAAACGGCTGTCTGGCAAG